GGTAACCATACGAACTGGCTGCAGGATGGGGGCACGAGGTTCGGCGGGGGACATGGAGCAGGGAGCACCAGTGGACTGTGCCGGCCGGCAATTGTTTTGTCAGTTCGAAAAGCGCTGATTAAAGCGAGTCTGCGGCTCGGCGGCGCAATAGCGTATCGGTCTCTTGTTATTTCGCAGGCATTGTTGTCACAACGACGACTTTTCATATGCCGAAAAATTCGATATGAGGAGCTTCAACTGTGTGCTATATGATATAGTAGTCTGATGCTGATAAGATTGCGCTCATAAATTGCTAAAAATTAAGTTGCCAACTTATAGAGGGGACCAAACAAAGATCAACGTAGTTTAACGGATTAAAATCGGAGCACTACTTATAGGAATTTATATTTGTATTTATAGGCATTTGGAACATAATAGTCCGACCGAATAGATACCGACTAGGAAATATCCTGACCCCAGCCTCGAGCTGCTTTTGTAGCTTCTTTCTATAAACTATGGGATATGTGCTATTCATTCCCAAATAATTAACTTTTTGGTGCATCAGGATGGCATCAGTTTGTGTTTAAATACTAAAGATTAAGCACTTAATTTCTAAGGATAACACAATATAATTTTTCTGGTTGTTTATATGTTAGTTTATGAAGTCTAAAGCTTGCTCTTCTTATGAATTCTATAACGCACACTATATTAAATTAGATAGACAATAGTTTGATTAGTTTATACTCAAACTTGTTATATACATGAAACAATATCATGAAATGCAAGACTCTTTCATACTTTGAATTAAATATTTCACACGAAATTGATAAGCCGTAGCTACTAAATCTCTATATATTCTGCAATTTACATTTCATTTATTACGATAACTGCTATTGTACTTGCATACGAAAGGGTGTTCATTTGTCGTCTTTATCAAGCAAAGTTCCCTCACATTGTTTTGCTTGTATTTGGGTTAAGCGCTCCAACAAACTTCAAGTCATGCATGGCCAGTGGCAGTGGCCAAAAGAGTTGTCTGCTTTTTTAGTTGCCATGGTTATTGTTATTATTATTGTTGTTGTTGTTGTTGTTGTTGCAGTGGTTGTTGGCCTATCAACAATCGATGCATTGCAGTTCTTGCTGCGCTTCTGGATAGCACCACGAAGATTAATGGGGCTATGCCCAGGGTATTATGTCTTAACATATTTGGAATTTTAATTCGATTTGTGGTTACGTTTGGTTTCGTTTGCTTTAGTTCAATGAACATTTGTGGTGCGTTTCATTAGGCGTGAATTGTGGTGCGTAACGCCCAGTCTTAAGTAGTTAATATGGGGTTACTAACCACTCAAAGAAGAAGAAGAAGCAGCAGCTATGTATGTGCCCATGTCTATAATATTAAATAATTATAGCCTTTGTACAGTAAAAGCTGCGGGTATGGAGTTCATATGAACATAAGAACTTTAAACTTAAAAAAAAGAAAAACGAAAGGACGGAGAAAATCCACACGCGACTGTGGAATATTAGCGGAAAACGGCTAAGATATTTGCGGATAAGATAAGACGGTTTTTACGCTTTTCGTTAAATTCAACAATTGTGTAGAATGTGTGAGCCAAGGTTTTGAGACGTATTTAAAGCCGTTCTGCGTATAAAATACGGGCCAAAATTTATATGTGCGAAAATAGAATTTAATTCGAACTGCTCAAAGCAACGACAGAATGTCTCTTTCAACGCCAAATCTTGTCTTAGCTTGTTCAAACCTAATTCAGCGATTGTGGAAATTCCACTCCATTGAGTGGAAATGGACGCTCAAGCGAAAAATTTGTGAAAAAGTGACGTATTGTACAAAATATTTAAGAAATAAAGCTGGTCCGGTCAAAGCCGGGTAGTTGCCGCTGATGATTATGTAAAGCAGCAACCGGAGACAAGAACCAAAGGCCAGACCCCAAGACAAAGTTTTGAGCAAAAAGTTAAAAAACAAGAAGAAAACCATATGCAGCGGTTGCCATTTTTTAGTCCCGTTCTAGCATCCGCCAAATAAAGTCATGAATTCGGAGCGTTACAGCAGCAGCAGCAGCAACAACAATAACAAGAACAACAACAATGCCAATGGTCAAGCGGCTGCAGAAGCTTTTTAACTTGGCTTTATTCCATTTTTTTTCTTGTTTTTTTTATTTTGTTTGAGCAGCGGAAATTATTATTAATTGCTTGGAATGCTAGGCCCACAAGCAGCTGCCCCCTCACCACGCCGCATAACATCTAATGGCTTCCGTTGGCGTGGCAGCTTCTGTTACGTTTGCCTAATCATTTTGATGACGTCAAAAGCCGTTTATTCATGGCCAAAACGCGGCGAGTTCTTGGCCCCAAATGCGAGTTGAAATCCGTGTACATTGGGCGGTTTTTGTTGCGTGGATTGTGTAGATTAATGTGGAGTAACAGAGTGTGCAGTTCATTGGCCTTGGCAAAGTTAGGAGACATTTGACAGGCAACCAGCCCCCTGCCAGCAGACAGCGTGGGTAAGAATTGTGTGTGAGTGGAGTGCACTAGAGACTGGCCAAGCGTGGCCAACTTAATAGCTAGTCTTCAGCTCCAGCTCCAGCTCCAGTGCAATTGCGATTGCAGTTTTCTCTAGAAGCAAACCTGGAGCCAAGGGAAATTTCGCCAACGCCAACGCTTGTGCTGCCATGTGGCCGTTTCATATGACTGACTGCAGTCGGGCGGCAGCGGGCAGCCAGAGTTGAAAGTGGAGCTGGAGCCAGTTGTTGCACAGTTCCAAGTCATGGTGCGGCATCCGTTGAAACCTGCCAGCTGTTGCCCCAAGGCACGAGTAGCAGCGTCTCCAGTGCAACAGCAACAAACAGGGAACGTTTGGGGTGCGATTCAACGGGGCGATTGTATTACCCAATACAAAAAGGTGAACGACTGACATTTGCGTAATTGTGTTTGAATGCCGGAACGAACCTATCTTACTTTTCTTTCTTTTTGTGCAGCCAAACACAATAGTCAAAGCATTTGCATTTGGACTTAAAAGCTCAAATTGATTGGAATAGGCTGCAACATGGGCTTTAGCTGATCAATGTGAGCACTGAAAGTCAGCAAAAGAGCGTGACGACGGGTTACTTTTGTATGTCCCACACATTCTAAATACGTTGCACATGCATTTCACGCAGTTAATTTCCCATACATATGAATATTTCAAATAGTCCAATGACTAAAGTTTTAATTATTTATATTTAATAAACTCTTTTGCGAGGCAGACAGCAGCCACTTTGCCTTTATCAATGCATTTTTCGATCCTTCTTTCTTTTTTGTTCAAATTATTAGAAATACGTTTTGATTAACTAGTATAGGCTTAAATATTTAGGGCTTTTAAAGACCGTATAAATTTTGTATATACATATGTTTTATTCACAAACTATGTGCAATACGCATATTCTTGGGCAACTTAACGTTGCGAAGTTAAGACCCTATGGCAATAGTTGAGCTGTTTCGTAGTGCAATATAATATTGTATATAGTATAGATCTTTGGGTATAGCATAAAGGTCTGTTCACCGTTATCGATTGAGATTGTTTTGCAGCGCTCGTGTATCTCAACTTATTCTGCGTTTATCAGCGTCGTCGAGCGATTTGTTTGTTGTCTTTTGCACAATGTTTGTTTATTTTGACACGTTCGTTGTTGTTGTTGTTGCTGTTGTTGCTGTTGTTATTGTTGTGCGCTTGGTCGCTGCGTTGGCGACTTCAATAAATAATTTTTTTTTTTGTATTTCCGTAAGCCGTCGCCTCGTGTGCCCCCATTTTTATGGTCTTCATGTAAATTTTGGGTTTATTTTTAGGCACTTGACTAGTGGCAGCCGCAGTTGATCTGTTCGTAATTTGTTTATGGCAACTGTTGGCTCGATTAGACGCTGGCGTTGACAGCCTCACAGCTGATGAACTCTTTTGAAGCCGCGACAACAACGACGACGACGACGACGACGACATCGACAAGCAACATGTGTGGCAGCAGCTATTTGTTTTTCTCATTTTTTTTTTTTTTGTTTATGCCGCGTGGCAAGACAGGCAGCATGCGGCAACTGGAAAACTGTCTGCTCTAATGATTTTGACCCTGAACGAATTTGAAGTGGTTTCGTGGCTGCAACGTCTGCCACTGCTTACAAATATAAACATGTCATGCATGGACCGAGTCTGAAACGGAGTCGAGTCCAAAAATCTTAACTATTTTTATGCACCCTGTTCCCACTCAATTGAGCAAGAAGGTGTCCGAGGGCGTGTGACAGCCAGCAGTAGACAGCGCCAACCCTTGAGAATATATATATAATATATATAGACTCGAGCTGCTATCGAACGGCTATCTGTGAAATCTCAGTGGGCAAAAGTGCTAGAACTAGAATATTTAGTACGCGATTAGATCATAGCTTAAACAAACACAAACCACAATTTTTGCAAGTCACATCTATGTTAACATTCTCATTCAAATACGCTGAACAGAGAAGTTGTTTAAAAAATGATTACAGGGTATTTTCTTGTCACGCACACACGCCACACAACATTCCTCTTGTAATTGCTAAGTCGAAGCTATAAATTTGACGGCCTGCTGCTAAGCAATTGATATCACGGCAGGCAGCGCAACGCCTTAAAGATAATCACAGGTGTAAAAGATACAAAGATGACATGCAGGGGGGGAAAAACCAAAGAAAAGGCAGCACAACGGAAATTTGCACGATGGAGACAAATAACCTCTAAACTAAGAAGATGCGAAGATTAAAACGAGTATTATTTTTTATAAAAGCTTAATACATTTGTGCATGCAAATTGTTGAATAGATTTTTCAAATTTTAAGACCATTTACGCAAATACTTGCTCTCAATAAAATCTAACAATTTATTAGATTTTAAATAAATGTTGAAAGTAGTTAGCAGAACAAACATAAAAGTTTATTATTTGAGTTACTTGAAGAAGGTATTGATATGCGAAATATTGTTTTATAAAAAGCTAGCAAAATTTACGGTAATTATTTGTCGAAAACTCAGCCACTTAAGATTTCCGTCTCACTGCCCAAATCCAGAGTAGCCGAGCCCAGGGAAGTGGTTACCAGATTGAGCACCTGCTGCAATGGCACGCCGGCCTTTTGCAGATCATCCCGCACCGCACGATACTCTGGCAGGTCGCGCACGTTGCTGAGCAGACGCCGGAACTCGGTGCCGCGTATGCGACGCACTGCTTCGGACAGATCCTTATCGGACGCCAATTGGCGTCGATAGAGCTCCCGGAGCTGTGCGCGCGGCAGTGCATCGCGCAGATCCTGCAACAGTCCGCGCACGCCCGTTCGGCGATTGGGCAAAGGACTGCTGGGAGGCTCTGAGGACTGAGCATTGAATAGCAGGCGCACATGCTCCAAGTAGTAGGCATGGTTGAGTTTCAGGGTCTGGCACACATAATTCCGCAGAACGCCCTTTTCCTTGGTGTTGTGCAGACGCGTCACACGCTCCTTGAACTGATCGCTGCGCAGCAGCTTGAGCAGCTCACGGACCTCGGCGTCCTCCCTGGCATTGGCCAAAATGTTGCGCAAGCGTTCAGCGGGCAACAGGGGACGAGCTTTACGGATGAGTCTGGTCAAACCACGCTCTGCGCTACTGGGACATGCGTTGCCATCGCGTGGAAGCGATGACTGCTCGTTCTCCGCGTGACTCTCCACTTCAGTGGCTGAGTGCGTAGCAGGGTCAGGCAGCCGCTCCGGCTGATGCACTTCTCGCGCTTGCCTACCGAAGCCCGTATCGTAGACGCTCCAGTTGATTTTATGCGCCATCATCAAATCCGACTCCTGAGCACTCGGCTCTTCCAGCTCGGACAATGTATAATCTTCAGGAAACTCAAAGTAGGCATCTGTTGTGATTGTCTCCTCAGGCAGCTCGGTGACAGCAGCCGCCAGCAGCATGGAGCAGCTGAGATAGATGAGGAGCTGGTACATCTTGGTAACGTATCAATGGGACACTGTGCCTTTGCCATTTAACTGATGCAGGTTTTATAGCAGAAAAGCTCACAGAATCCCAGCCGAGTGCTAACTTATCTGATGTTTAACCAATACACTTCTCTATTTGTCCAACATATTTGCAGGCAAACACAAGCAACGAACACAGAACAAAAAGTGGAACAACCTTGAGATACTTTTGAGCTCATCAATCTTTTAAATGGGATAGCATCAAACTCATCAGGAGTTATCATATGACAAATACGTTAGGGCCAATACCCTGTGGCCATTGAAGCAACGGGTATACTCGACTAGCACCTGCTAGAGCCAGCAGATTTCAGCTCTGAGCCCATTCGAAGCAGGGTATCTTACAGTCGCACCATCTTAATGACACTCACTTGCCAATTTCTGCTGCTACTGCTGCAGCTTAAGTGAATTATTTATGACTGCAAAGCGTGTAAAGCCGCTTATGTGCTCTATAAAAATGAACAACAACAACAATATACGAAGCACTTGACAATTGCCTAGGAGTCGCGACAGTTTTGTCTGTATTTGCCAAAGCAAATTTAGCAAAGTCGTTTTGGGGATTTGCTAAACAATTTTCCGGAATATGTCCTTGGCCATATTAAACTAAAATATTTATGCGTGAGCACTTGTCATGAATTCAATAGAACTGTGCACTTGATGGTCATACTTATAAGGGATGTAGCAAATGCACATTTGATCTAACAAATTAATAAAATTTGTTTGATGAAATATAGGAAAAATAAAGAATATTTTCGTTCATATCAGCAAAGCGATAACAGATCAAATGAAACGAATCTATTTCTGTTAGAAACTTTGATTATTGATTATTAAATAAAAGATAGTATTTAAATGATAAGGAATATATATGACATCTATCGAAAATAAAAACAGCTTGATATAACTCTCAGCATCAACAATCATGACAATTTTTATAAATAGCCCACACTCTTCAATTACAAATTAAATAGAAGGGTCTAACAATTTCCGAATCAAATTTAAGATTCGCTGTCCTGCTGATAAACTTAAGGGTTGAAATCATCTATAGGTTTTATTGCCAGGCCCATGTTCGACAACAACAATATACTTCTACTCTAAATAGAACATCTTCCACCAATCCATCCGACGCTTTGTTCTATTTTTGTTCATCTCGCATAATTTAGCCGTTCTTTAACAACTGGCAATATCATTTAAAAAGGAATAAATAAAAAGTTTATTTGAAGGCGTCCGACCAGAAAGTCATTTGCACAGCATTCATGTGGGACTCATTAGGCGGGTATCTCTGGCATTTTGCACAGCTCGGCAGGATTTACTTGTTTGCCTTGTATCCTTTTTTCGGCCTGTTGACAATGAGCGAAACGAAACATTACAGTAGAGCGACATTCCGCAAGGACCAAAGCTTCTGCGATGAATATTCATGTTCGTAGGTTAAAAGACAATTTTCACTTGCCGCACTTGAGGCTTTGGTTGGGTACATAAATTAGCTTCAGATTGTATTTGATTGTCCTTGGAGAGATTTCGTTTATTTTTTGTGGACTACAATGGGTTTTAAACGAGCATTCTGATGTTTTAAATGCCTTTTGACATTAAAAAACAGTTTGTGAACAGAGCAGAAATACTATTTGAATAACTATCTGATGATAGATAATATATCTGTAGATAGTTTGATAAAGCTGCTTTAAATTCTCGTTTCTTTTGCTTAAAGTTCTAACAATGAGGGAAATAACGCCAGGGTGCAGTTTTTCCAACTACTCACCTGGCGCCAAGCCCGAAAACTACCGCCAGGGCCAGTCTCATACATAAATATGTGACTTAAATCGAAGCATTAAGACTTAAGGCCAAGTTATGCAGCCAGCACAAGCCCAAAAGGAGCAGGCTCCAAGCAAAGTCACGCAAATGAACAAATTGAAAAGCAGACGATTCGGGTTGGGTTTCCTGGCTGGTTAGGGGTTCACCAGGGAACCCAGCCAGCTCTGAGGACAACGCCCAGTTTCAACTATTTTAATGCTTTTCTACTCCCACGGGGCTGGACAGCTGTGTAAATATTTCATGTGACACGCCCCAAAGCGCATTTTACTTAATTGACTCAAAGTAAAAAAATGATAATAATAGTAAAACGGGAATAAAGAATATATTGTAATTTGATCAAAATTTAATTTTCGATTTGACGGCACGTGTGCTTCCCCTCCCCGCATTACCACGATTGTCAACGCGTTTACCGAAATGTTAATGCTCGATTGCATTGCGTTCAATTCAAATTAGGATACACTTTTCGAGACCATTTGCCGGCTCGAACGTGAGCCGCATTTTAGCCAAGGCTTAAAGCGTTCCGTTAACAAATCGAATTGTAGGATTAACACTCGAATTTTCGGCCCTGCCAATTGGGAGGCTCTAATGCAATACGCAAATTGCAAAATATTGACGAGCTCTTGTTTATAATAACAATTACGTGGGCAATAACTGAAGTACATTAAACCCAATCTGAACTGTTTAACAATGCGGATTGTATTTTAGGCTACCTTAAAAGCAGCCGATCCGCACGAATTCTATATGCTCTATAAACAATACCTATTCATCCTTTCTATTAAGCAAACATTTTTTGCTGATTTGATGATTTGAAATTATATTCTGGCCATGAGAATATTTGATCTGCGTACATTGCGTACGCATTGCCAAAGCCCTATATGCTCGTTTTCACTTTGTGCACAGCGTATAATTTACAGTTTGGCTGGAATTTTCCAAACCACCAACTTAATGCAATCCACTTTCAGCTAATTCATTTCCAATTTCTGACTGCGCAAACGGCAAGAATTGGAACTACATTTAATCAACCGAGTCCACCCACACACACACACACACACACACACACACACATAATTATTTACAATGTTCGTTGCGGTATATTAACCATCATTTGAGTGCTATGCATATTGCAAATTTGTTTATGCAAATAGTAACCTGTTACATAACCAAATTAACTTGTCTAATTAGTCTAGTCAGGTGTAGGAACACTTAGCATGCATATCATATGTATTTATATGTACATGTTTACACTTGTATATAAACATATAAAACTATTCCAGCCAGGAACAGTTAGTTCAGCGCACGCAAGTGATCTGATGCTGCGCAAGCACATGGGAAAAGAAGAGAGTGAGAGGGGGGCAGAGTATGTACGGAGCAACAGGCAAACCGATTGCTCATTGATATTCCATATACATACATATGTACATAACTGTACAAAAGTGCAGTACGCAATAAATTTGTCTTACACATAAGCATATACATATATATATGTGTATATAAATAGGAATGTTTCTACACACATACGTGTGTATACGCTAGTAGCGTGTATACGCTAGTATTCCAGCCTGGAACTGTTAACCTTGAAAATTTAGCACAAAAGATCTGTGCAGAAGCCCATGCAAAGAGATTTTACGCATTAGAACTCATTAAATATAACTGTTTTATAATGCAGTACGCAACAGCTATAGAATAGGCTTGCAAATGGCCCAACAAGTTTTAATTACGAGAACTGACAAAAATAACTGTAAATGAAAAAACAAGAAAACATTTCCATATGTACATACCTGTGTGCTGCTGCTTTTTATCCAGTGCACCACTCAGTCTTATAGCAACTTATAGTCAATTCGTCAATTATGCTGTATAAATAACACAAATGCCACGTAAATAACCAATTTGAAAGATAATTTTTCACCATTTTCAATTGCGCCACTTTCCACATCAAATTTCACGTTTTTTACTCCACACGCGCAGCTGACTGATATTTGGTAGCATATGGTCAGCCCAATTGACTAACATGGTCACTCTAATAACATGTATCGCAAGTGAAATATCGATAGCCAATCGATAGCTGCAACCAAGCATGAATTTAACGCGAAATGAAATAACCGCTATGAACGAATCGTGTAAGTAGGCAGCAGATCAAGGTTTATAAAAGAAAGGAGGATAATTCACGCAGTTAAAACACCGCACAGCTGCCGACACAACCGTGGCCATGTCCGACATGGAACAAACTTCACCATCCCTGCTCAATCACAATGTCAGCTTTAACAGCAGCATGGAATTGACTTTGCCTGCGGCCTCCGTCGCTGGCAGGGGAGGCACCTTTCCAGATCTGAGCTTCTCTCTGAGCGAAACGGAGCGGCGACAGCTGAAGCAGTACAAGGCGTCGGCTGACGAGAGCAACATCAATCGCAGCCAACGCAGCGCACTCAAGGATGTGTCCAACAACCAGAGTTGCAGCATAGAATTGGAGGAGGGCAGCGGCATAGAAGAAGAGACCGAGCATGTCATAAGCGTGGACGATACAGTCGATGAGCTGCTACAGCCGCAGGGGGAGGAAATGGTGGACCAGGAAATAAGCAGCACCACAGTCAAGCCGCAATCGTCGCCGCCGCTGCCGGCACAGGCGACGCTGTATTTTGAGAGGCAGCTGGTCGAACTGGGTCGCCGTTGCTGGCCATCCACGGCGGAGGCACAGCACTATACGAAGGGCTGTTACTGGTCGCCAGATGGCACTTGTCTGCTGACGCCCGTTCATCTGGACGGCATGCATGTGATGGAGCTGCCGTTGGATCTATACGAGGCCAGCGACGTCTCGGTGAAGCGCAGTCTGTCCCAATTGCAATCGGCTGTGCATGTGCCCGAGGGCGGCACCGTCTACGATTGCGTCTGGTATCCGCTGATGAACAGCCAGCAGCCGGAGACCTGCTTGTATGTACTAGCTGTTTATTGCTGCTGCACTGCATCCACTAACCCAATATCTTTCTTTGGCCTCTAGCTGGCTGGCCACGCGCCAACATGAGCCCATACACATGTGGGATGCGTTCGATGGACGACTTCGTTGCAGCTACAGCGGCTACGATCAGGTGGACGAGGTGGTGGCCGCCATATCGCTTGCCTTTGCGCATGATGGCCAGAAGATCTATGCAGGCTATAAGCGCTGCATCAAGATC